CCTGCATCCTCTGGGCCATGAGAAGGAGCAATATTCCCAACAGACATCTCTCACTTCTCTCTTAATAATGTAAGATGATTAGGGCAGCTGTGCTTTATAGTTTCTGGTCTAAACCCCAGCCACACTTATTTTGAAATCTTTCCTGTGTCAGATGTTCGTGGTCCCGCCTGTAAAATGGTGCTTCCTGAGATCCTTCCTAAGAGTCCTCTGGAATTTCTTTCCTTGGAGGTTGTTACTCTCCAGTTTTGCTTCTAGATTTGCATGTGCTCTCTCCTCCTGCTTTCTGAACACCCTCTTTGGCAGCCTTAGGTTTGCTGGAACCTCTCTGAGCTGTCAGTGTGACTGATGTCTCTCAAGCATACTTGAGTCAGTGCACAGGACATCCACAGGTTCCCCTTAGGCTGGGCCTGGCTCTGCCACCTCAGGTGACACCACAGTGGGTGCATGGCCAAGCAGTATCCATGGACTTACTCTGCATAAGGACAGTGGAATCCCAGAATCCCAGAATGGTTTGGGTTTGAAGGGACCTCAAAGATCATCTCATTCCCACCCCCTTGCCTTGGGCAGGGACACCTTCCACTAGACCAGGTTTCTCCAAGCCCCGTCCAACCTGGCCTTGGACACTTCAGGGAAGAATAAGTCTTATTGTGAAAATCTCTATTTTGGTCAGAATACACATTTTCCACTGGAGTCAAGACAGATGGAACATTTTGACCATTCGTGCAGCAGTGTCTCACTCCTGACTGCATGCAGTTGATTTGGAAGAATAAGCTTATTTAAGGTTCAGACTATTAAAAACATCTGCTTTCCCATGTATCCTGAAACATGGCAGGATTTGAAAAAGGAGAACATGTATCATGCTTGTCCTACCACTATAAAACCTCGGCTCCAGAGTTTAAATTGTGGGATTTTAATGATGGTGTATCTGTATTATTCAGTCCTGTGTAATGCACTGTTGGTTATGGTGCTGTGATCCATTTTCCTGGGTTGGAGCTGGGCCACCTGACCATATTTTCAGTGTGTGGTTAAACATCAATCTGAATAAGCAAAATAATCACTTCCAGACTAAACACAATTTAAAATTTGTTTAAAATATTGAACGAGCTTTGTCACTGGGAGATGTCTCTTCTATGACATCAGGCTACATTGGTGTGTCACTGCTGAGTGACAGTTTCTTTTTCCCCTGTTTTGGGACTAAAAGCACAAAATTCACTGAAAATGCTCCTTTGGCTGGGGTAACTTTTGGCTGAGGGTCAGTCTCTGTCTTACATCTGGGCATCTCTGAGCATTAATATCTATGCCTTCAGTGGCCCCTGTGGAGCAAAAAGTTATATACAGTTATCCTCCTCTTTCAGATGGACAAAACTGGATTGTAAAGAGACAGTAAAAATCCTCATCTGTTTAGCTTGGAATGACTTGGGAGAAGCTGATGACAGCACTAGAGGACAGTAGAGACTTGACATAGATTGAGTTGCTACAGGACCCTTACTCTTTTAGCAAAACTGTTTGCTGGTGGCCAGGGAGAAGGGAAGGAAAGATGCTTTATATCTCAGGAGTGCTGGAAGAGCAAATAGAGCCCATGTATGTGTGTGACTTCTGTCCCTGCTGACTCAGTGTCATGGTTATGATTTTTTTAGGCTTTTTTCTGTTTTGGATGTTTAGCCCTGACGTTGTCCTGACAGGATGCTTTTCACTCCTTGCTTTCTTTCCCTTTCTGTTTAGTTCTCCAAAGCCCTGAGGTTGGAGTCTCTACATTGGTATTGTGCCTTGGAGGTGAGCAGTGAGAGCTCCAGCTGTATGATGTGTGTTCTGCCTCTGATCCTGTCTCAGCAGTGCCACTGTAGATGCTGGTCCAGAGGTGTGATGCTCGCCCAAAGCTCTGCACGTTACAGAGTAGGGATGCAGCACTACAGGCATCCTGCCTACATAAATCCTTCTTTTTTGGGTAATTTGTCTGTCTTCTTGCTGTCTGCACTCCTGCAGTTGTGGCAAGAGTTTATAAAGCACCTGTGGTCCTTAAAAATTCTCTGCCTCCCTGTTTCTCTGGAGGGAAGATTGTTACAACCTCCCACCAAATTCCAGTTGGTAATCACACATGGACCAGAGTCCCAAAACAGCCAGAACTTGGACACCAATGACCCCCTGAGCTGTTGCAGAAAGAGCTAACACACTTCTTCCCTGCCCTTGCACAGTGGGAATGCTGAATAAATCAAGCCAAATAACGAGGTTGGTTCCTGAGCCAAAAAAAAAAAAAAAGGTGCCAGCAGTCCATAAGGATTGTTCAGTGTTAATGCTGAGCTTTCGTGGGGCCACAGGGAAGGAGCTGAACAGGGATGCTGTAAAGGTCTGGGACAGAGTCAACAGGTTGATAGATTCCCACCAGGAAACTTTCCTTTGAGTTTAACATGGCATTTAAGCACATACCTCAGGGCAGAGGGGAGATTTTGGCCCCAGTGACAACGTGTGTTTAAGGTCAGACATAAACTTGAGCATCGTACTGGAGTAATGCTCTGCATAAGAGTTAAAAAAATGTTTTCCTGATCAAGCTCTTCCCCACTCAGAGATAGTTTTCATCTTGGACTTCTGAAGTTCTTTAGAAATGAACCCTCCCTTCCCCTTCCAAAATATTTTCTCTTGAATAGCAATGTAATCAGTCGTTTCAACCTGCTCCTGCAATGTCTGTGATTACTGAAATTATTTTTGTACGTTCAAAAGTGTTGTATTTTTTGCTGTGATTGTACCTAAATAGTAAAGGACACTTTGCAATGGATAGCACTCAGGTTTTTTTTCCAAAACCATCTGAGTACAAGAATGAGGATGGAGAGTTTGTGACAAGTTGTTGTGTTGATGAACAAATGGGCTCAAAGGGTTTACCTTTCCAAAGTAACAGCAGCCATTAAAAAGTCCTTCTGCGTGTGTTTTGCTTTTCTGAACACATTCTTATCAGTATATTTAGTTTGAAAAATACTTTTTTATGTACTGAGAAACATCTATTCTGTTTCTTTCAGAAGTGAAGTTTTGAAACTTAAAAAAAACGCCTCCATTTGTATTCCAAGAGCAATCAAGATTCTCTTTAAGATGCTGCTTTCCTCAAAGTTTTTACGTTGTTAAGAACAGGCATTCAGAGCTGAGGCTGGATGAGTTCTGTCATGTTTATGAAGTTGTGAAAGCATCTGGATACACTACAGAAACCCTCAACCAAAAGCTTTTTGAAGTCTCTTTCTAGTATAATCATCCAGGCTTACTCCACTAAACCAAGCATGTATTGGATTTGGATGGAAGATAAAGAAAGAATCAAACTGATATTGTGGAATACAAATATACTGTTAAGATTACATTGCTTTAGGGAAATGTCCCTGAACTGTGAATGTTAATTGTATGCACTTTTCAGCACCTAATTGGTACTTCTACAATTGATTCACAGCCATCCTGAGCGTCAGTCAGATCAGCTGGAGAGCACAGTCTGTTCAGTGAGCACTTAAAGCACTTAAAGCAACCTTTTGTTTCCTCAAGTATCAGGGAGCAAAGAAACAGAGTAGTGTGTGGGGCCCTAAGTTTTTAGGGCATCATTCATCTTGGGCTTCATTGGCATCAGTTTCTTAATTATCATGAGGGAATAAATAATAATAATAATAATAATAATAGTAAATCTAAATAATTATAAATAATAAAACCTGAGGCACCACTTAGTGTCTGTTGTCCCAGGATAAAGAGCTTCACCCTGGCTTTGCTGCAAAACACCAGTGCACAAAATAATTCAACATGTGGTGTATTAATGACCTGTCCTTACTATAATTTACCTCTCCACAGTCTTTATCTCCTATAAAATTAGTAAAAATCTTCTTAATTTTATTTCTCTACATCTGATATATTGTGGGTTGTGTCTGCTCCATCCCTGGAAGTGTTCAAGGCCACGTTGGATGGGGCTTGGAGCAACGTGGTCTAGCATGAGGTGTCCCTGCCCATGGCAGGGATGGAAAGATATGGTCTCAAACCATCCTGTCATTCTATGATTTTCCCTTACACTCTTTTGCCCTTCAGCAATTTTCAACCCAGGCACTACCTGAGTCCATTTATCTCCAGCTCCTTACATGTTTTTTTTACTATGTCTCTGCCTTAAAATTATTCAGGTATCACAGCTGCACTTAAGACATCATTTATTTCCAGGCTGAGCAGAAGAGTTTAGTTAAGCTGCCAATTAATGTGACTCTCAGTTTTCCCCCATAGCAAGGTCACAGCAGTTCAGTCTGTAACAGGATTTACCCCTCTGTAAGTGCTTCCAAAAGAAGCCCTTGAAGTGATTCAAGAAGTCATTTGAAATGATTCCATGAGAAGAGATTGGGATAGCTATAACATTTGTTTCTTCCTGTTTGCCAAACCAAAAAGAGCTGGAAAAGGAAGGGGGAGTGCAAACAGACACACAGGAGTGTGATCACTGGTGCTGGTGACCTTGTTCTTCACATTGGGATGTTTTCTGCCATCAGCCCACTTCAGGATGGTTGGTGACACCTCACTGGGGGTACTCCAGAACCATCTGGATGCAATCCTGTGCAATGTGCTCCAGGGTGACTCTGTTTGAGCAGGGAGGTTGGACCATTGACCCACTGTGGTCCCTTCCACCCTGACCCCTCCTGTGATTCTGTGAAACTGAATCCAGCCAAGGGCTGGAGAAGAGCCCCTGAAACTCTTGAAATCTTGAAGAGCCCTTGAAATTCCTCTTGAAATCCCCCCATCTCAGTCTAGGCTTGGGGGATTGCTGGGCTGTAACAGATAAGGGAGACCAGAGCAAGGGTCACTGCTACCTGCAAAGCTGCTGTGGGAGAGTGACTCTTATCTGAGCTGGAAGCAGGACAAGGACTGGTGGATCAGTTCCCACCAGCAGCCATGGGGATGGCCTGGAGGAAGCAGCTGAAAGCAAACAAACATGGGATTTTTACTGCCTCAGAGAACTGTCTGGGTCACCTCCTTATCTGTGATTTGTGTTTCTCAAGAATAGGCTGCTCAACTATCTGCATGAGAGGACTCACCACCTTGGAATTAGAGCTGGGAAATGTTTTTGGAAAAACAGAAGAGGTGCTGGAGGAGAAAAGCGTTGTCTCTCTGGCCTGGCAGGTTTGTATAGGTTTGTTTTTTTCCATTAAGATGAGGAATTGATTACTTTATTTGGAGAGAGGTATTCCTTGGAAAAATCATTATTTGCTCGCACACCATGTCCGTGATGTCCTGTTGCTATGATCCCAAAAGAAACAAACAGTTTCCTTGTCAAAAACATACCACTTTCTCAGCAGGCTGTGCCCAAAAGCTCTGTGTGTCTTCCTCCTCCTCCAGACATGCCTCCCACTTCCTCCTTTAGGCTTTCTTGAGTACTTAAAAGGCATGTTGTCTTCCTTTCTTTCTGTCTGTGGGTCTCAGAGTCAGTCATTAACAGCTTCCAAAGGAAATTGTGTGTTTATAATGTTCTGGAAGGACAAAGATTCTAGCTCTGGATTAAAATGAGATGACATTTCTACTGATTTTTTTTTTTTGGTTTGACTCTTTAAACTGTATTGCATTTCACTTTTCTCCAAGTGGTGCTCCTCACCCCTTGTGGACTTTAAAATAGTATGGAAAGAGAGGCATAACAAAGGATAATTGGATTAAAACCAGTGTTTGTGGTAATGTAATGTTTCTATCTGGCCTTAGCCTCTGAATTTATAACTGAGGGACAAGCAGTGCCCAGTGTCAGGGCTAAGTGTGGAGGAAGGATGCAGCACTGAATCACAGGAGAGAGGCTGTCCTATGGCAGGGTGGGATAATCTGGTCCAGGAGGGAGCACATGTGCTATCCCTGGTGTCTCAGAGCACTGTTACTGCCTGGATGATGTTACATTATATTATTGCACGAGTGGTCTGTGCTCCTTTATTTCAGCTCTGTTCTAAGGGCTGACAAGAGTGAGGAATTCTGTGCCAACCACACCTCCCAAAGGACTTCTTGGCATTTTTACAGCTGGACCACAATGTGGGGCTTCCCCTTTCTGGGGTGGCTGCTGCTTGCTCTGGAATTTCCCAGCATATTCCGGCAGCAGTGACTGTGCTTTTGCATGGCAGGCTCAGGTCTGTTCTGGGTGCACAAACTATGCCCAGCCCTCTGAGAGCTGGGCTTCACTGAGCTGCTGTTCACCACTGTGCGGGTCTGTCAGGCACTTGCTGACATCTTTGACTCGTGGGGTAAATATTATTTGTTTTTCAGACTCATTCTGTGGGCAGCAAAAAAAGCACAAATGTAAAGAGATATTGACATTCAGTGGTGCAGCCCGACCCTGCTGAGCTGCAACAGAGGGGAATCTGCCTTGCCATCGGAGTGATGTGTGTGCCTGTTTCCCTCAAACCAAGTGGGAAAACCTTTGGATCCCATTTAACAGGTTGAGATGACTCAGTCACCAAACTCAGACTCCCAGCTGAGCCGGGCACCCTGCCCCAATATGTGACACAAAGATTGATTCCTGTTGGCTCACTGACTGGGAATTCTTTTGTGGCATGTTGCAAAATCCTGTCCTATTAAACTCCCTGACAGCTTCTGCTCCCTGCTGTGCCTCGTGGTGTGAGTTGGACCTTCATTACCCTCAATGCACAGTGAGGAATGGGCAGATTCTAACCTAATTACATTCTTCTTCCCTCCTGGACTTTTATTTGGAAGGGAAAAGAGATTTGGCCCATTGTAAATATTGTACATCATGGTAAAGATAGAGTTAAGATTGTCTGTAATGTATTATACTATTTATTTATTTGTACAGTGTATTATAATATATATCCCTTTCCCCCCATTTTGAGTCTCATGTAGTGTCTGGAAAACCCATCTCACACTGGGTTGAGATGTGGGAGGGGGGCTAGGAATCAGGAATTGGATTTTGGGACTTCAAACCATGACACTCAGTCTCCTCCTTATCATTATTGCCAGGTTCTGTGGGACATTTCTTCAAACATCTCATCTCTTACGAGCTCATCTCTTGTGGCCTGCAGCAGGGGACAAGGTTTTCATAAACCTTTAGCAGCTGTGAGATGTAAGGCAGGATTTTTCCAAAGCACTTACCCTGTGAACTCCACTTCTGTGGCAATAAGGGGTGAATGATCTCGATTTCTGTGAATTCAGGGTAAGAGCAACAATAGGATTTTTGTAAAATCCAACAGATTAAGCCAAGTTTTCAGCACTCACCATCCTGAATTCTCTTTAAACACAAGAAATTAAATCCCAAACAAGAGCCCCAAGGGAACACAAAATTTTCCCCACATGTTTCAGCCCACAACATGGGAGCACAGAGCTCCTGTGAGCTCACCTGGATGTTCCTACCTCTGTTTACCCTGTAAAATGGATATCAAAGAAATAATCTGAACAAAAGGTGGACTTTTCAGATATATGAATGTATGATCTTGAGTTAAATGAGCCTTGGTCTTGCAGTATCAGGACATTTTCTGAAAGGCTTCTGCTCTAAAGCAGAGATACTAACATTAGTCTCAGGGGGAACAAGTTTCTCCTAAAATTATCACCAGTAACAACCATAGAGTGGTTTGGGTTGGGAGGGTCCTTAAAGCCCATTTTGTTCCACCCCCTGCCATGGGCAGGGACACCTTCCACTAGCCCAGGTTGCTCCAACCTGGCCTTGGACACTTCCAGGGATGGGGCAGCCACAGCTTCTCTGGGCAACCTCCCCACCCTCACAGGGAAGAATTTCTTCCTATCCTGTCCCAGAATTTGGTGTCATTAGGCTGAATTTAACATATGACCAAAATGAAGTGGGTAGGTTACATTTACCTTATTTTTATTAATCAAGAGATTGGGAATTTCACCTCTTTCAATGACACTGTGTGAGACAGACTTGCTGTGATAAGCCCTAAACAGGCAGATAAAAGGAGTGAGTGATTCCTGCCCGAAACATTTCTAATGTAAGTAGATCATGAAGGAGGTGATGAGGGGACATAAAATTGAGTGATTTTTTTGAACAATAAGACCCTAAATGGTGACTGGGTTAGAATTCCCACCAGATTTCAGCCCAGGTTGACTCATCTGCCTACAGTTGTCTTCTCCATTGGCTTGAGGAAGGACAGCCAGCAGGGTATGAGGTAACACCCCCTCCTTGCTGCTACCTAACCCAGAGGGCCATGGATGTGTTTGAATGGGCCCAGTTCTTGGAGAAGGACTGAACTCCAATCCCACTGCTCCTGTGGAATTCCTGTGCCTGTTCCTCGAGTCTCAACCAGAAAATGTTGTGTCCTCTCAAAAAGAGTTAATACAGCTTTTTCCTGTAGCTTGTGAAAGCAATTCAGTGTCCTCAACATCATCTGGCTTCACAAAAACACTGAAGTCTGAGTGAAAAGCCCATTAAAGCCAACCTTTTTTGAAGCTCTCCATCTCCCAGATGGAAGGGCTCCAGCTGTGTGAGGAGGCAGCACAGAGCTGCCCCTCCCTGTCTGTGTTCCTGGCTCTGCATGCCAGTGGGGTAAAAATAGCCATATTTTCAATCTAATACAAATATTTGGGGCTTAATTACCATCTGCTTTGGGGCTTTCCTTCAGCTGAGGCTAAGGAGATATGAAGAATTTGGCTGCTGTTTCCTGCTCCTGCACCACCCTGAGAGCTAAAGCATCTTGGTGGCTACTGTGTTTTCAGTGGCTCCTCTGGTAGGAAGGGATTAGAGGGACTTACAGCTACTTCAATACCCCCTTGTTCCAGGCATGTGTGTGTGTGTCAGTCCCCAGCAGACCCCTTGGCAGTGTGCAGCTTTATATAAAAGAGGGACACTAAAATCTGTTTATGGGCAGTCTGAGCAGCCCATTATTCGGGCTGGGTTCTTGACTCTTGCCCATCTGATATCATTCAAAGGCTTAGGTATTGCCAGGGAACAAAAATTAGTGCTGTTACTTCCTTCTAGTCAGCAGAATTAACTGTTCTTAAGATGACATTTGCTTTCATGGCAGAAGCAGTGCATCCCAAAGGTCCTGTTAATAATGTATACATGGCTGAAAAGGTGCAAATCTGGATTTTCTTGGGTTTATGATGATGGAAGCAGAAATATGAAGGCACCAAAGCTGCCAGAGAGCCTTCAGCTCTGTGTCTGGCACTTATGTTCATCTCTATTAAAAGAACTTGCAGAAATTGTAAGGGAAGGAGACAAAAGGCAGCCCTGTTAACACCACGGGTTCTTCCTTTTCCACGGTAGAGTCTTGGAAAGGCCCTTCCCTCCTCCTCCTCATCCCAGCTTGTCTCGGGAGTATTTGCTTTGTTAAATAGAAACTCTTCTGTTTCCTGTCTGTTGGTTTTTGGAGCCAGTTTTTAAGCCCTGAATCACTCTCTGGGGATGTGCACTGGAAAACTGATGGGAACCGATTTCCTATCAGCAGCTGAGATGCAATTCTTGGCTCCCCTTTCCCAGGGAATCACAGTGTGCAAACCTGGACGGCATCATGTGCTCAGTGGAAGAGACCAGGCATACCTCTTGAGGGCTGAGTGTGTGAAATCCTGAGGCAAATACTCATTGCAAAGTCAGGGCACGAGGGCGGTGGGAGGGGAAAATATCAGCTCATAAAGCTTTGGCTGCTGGCTCAGGAGAAGGGAAAGGAATACATAAAAAGTGAATATAGGTCTGCTTCTTTTCTAGGTCACAGCTGAAATTAATCATGAGAGATTTAGCACTGAAGTGGAGGAGAAAGCTGAAAAGCTGAGAGAGGCACTGCTCGAACACTGGTGAGCCCAATGTCTCTTTCCAAAAAGGAAGATGCAGAATTTGCTCAGTGTAAGGTCACACAGCCATCACAGAATGGTTTGGGTTGGCAGGAACTGAAATCTCATCTTGTTCCACCCCCTGCCATGGGCAGGGACACCTTCCACTAGCCCAGGTTGCTCCAAGCCCTGTCCAGCCTTGGGCACTTGGACACTTCCAGGGATCCAGGGGCAGCCACAGCTTTTCTGGGCAACCTGTGCCAGGGCCTCCCCACCCTCCCAGGGAAGAATTGCTTCATAATATCTAGTCTAAACCTGCCCTCTGTTAGTGTAAAGTGTAAAGAATCACAGAATCACTGAGGTTGGAAAAGCCCTCCCAGCCCATGGGTCCCCCCTGTGCCCCATCCCCACCTTGTCCCCAGCCCAGAGCACTGAGTGCCACGGCCAGGCCTTCCTGGGACACCTCCAGGGCTGGGCACTCCAAACCTCCCTGGGCAGCCCCTGCCAAGGCCTCACCACCCTTTCCAGGGAGAAATTCCTCCTGATGTCCAACCTGAGCCTCCCCTGGCACAGCCTGAGGCCGTTCCCTCTCCTCCTGTCCCTTGTTCCCTGGGAGCAGAGCCCGACTCCCCCTGGCTCCCCCCTCCTGTCAGGGGGTTGCAGAGCCAGAAGGTCCCCCCTGAGCCTCCTTTGCTCCAGGCTGAGCCCCCCCAGCTCCCTCAGGAGACAGAGCTGAACTCCCCCCCACAGCTGCTGTAATTCCTTTAACTTCCCAAGTCCCTCTATGGTGACTTTTTCTCCCATTTAAGGAGTGCTGAGAGCTGCTCTCTGGGTGCACCTCTTGGTTTACCATGGTGTCCATGGTGCCTTGATTGCACTGTCAGAATTTAGGCTGATCAGAACCAAATGGGGCTTTGCTTGTAGAAAAGATTTTTCTGTACCATGACAGCAGTAGTTATCTCAGAAATATTCCTGGAAAGGTCGTGTTTTTCTCACAAATGAGAACGTGGGCAGAGAATGGCACTCTAGAGACAATATCTGAGTCAATCCCGACTCTTTGTGGGGTTTGGAAAACCTTCTTTAAAGTACTTCTCAGTGTCATTGGATGCATAGAGCAAAACTTATGCTGCTCTTCAGGTTAGCACTGCACGTGCTGGGCTGTGCTCCCTTTGCCTAACTAGAAAATTTATCCCAGACCTGAAAGATGTAGATAAATTCCTTTCTTTTCTGAAAAAAACCCAAGATTTTTCATGAGGTGAGTGGGAGAAAACTGCATTCAAAAACGCACAGCAAGAAAGCACATCACAAGAATATAGGCAAAGTAGTCATCAACAATTAGAACAGTTACTTGGAAATAGCAAAAGAGCTTCTTTATTTGTGATATGTTGACTAATGATGTGCTAATAGCTGAGGCACGTTTGTAATAACTAATTGGTTTTCAAAAAACTAAGCAGAGCCAGGGTCCTCTTTGGGCTGAAAGGGCATTTACAGCTTCCCAGCAAGGCAGGCAGTGGGATTGGAGCCAGCAGGTCCTGGGAGTCACAACCACGGTTCAGCAAAGCCCAGAAAGCACATGCCTAACCCTGCCCTTCCTCCATAAAACTTGTGATACGTATTGACAAGGCAGAGCAAAAGAAATATTGGATTAAAGGGGAAAAGACCGAGTTGGCCAAGTCAGGCAGGAGGCCCGAGTTCAAGCCAGGAGCTGAAATCACCTCTCCTGAGACGCTCTTTGCCGTCACTGCCAAAGGCAGAGATGACCTCCCCAGCTCCCTGGGTGAGATCCCAAGCTCCACAGGACCTGCCACTTGGACCCAGCTTCTTGCTGGTTGGCCCTCAATCTGCTTTCCGAGGGGGCCATGAGCATCACGGTCCCACAATCCGCTTTCCAAGGGAGCAAAAACATCGTGGAGAAATGCTGGCAGAGGGCTTTTCCTATTGGAAAAAAACAAACAAAACTCACCAAAAAAACCCCCAAACAGACAAACAAAAACACCACCACCCCCTCCCCGAAAACCCAACCCCACCCCAAAAAACAGAAAACAAACAAACAAAAAATCCCCAAACCCAAACAAAATCCGCAAGCTACTTCCAAAAACCTTCCTGAGGCTTTTTTACCACAAACTCATGGAGAAGTTTAATGCCATGGTGGAGGACTATGTTGTGCAGCGTGGTCTGAAGGGTGAGGAGGAGAAGGAGAGCAAGAATTAATCCTGTGGCATGCAGTGAGCAAGATGTTCACCTTGCAGGCAGATGCTTTTCAGCAGTTGGTGGGGATGCAGTCCCTGTCTAATTGTATTTACCCAATCCCTGACCTTTTAGATCAGTGGGAAGAGTCCCAGGCAGTCAGCAGACTTGGGAAAAAAGCCCCAAATGACAGAGAAATGTAGACTTTGAGAGTTTTGAACTGTTATTGCTTTTTGAGTCATGGCTGCGGGTATTTTTCTCTCTGTGCAGCTGTTGGGAGAGCTGTGGGTGGCTACTGGGAGATGATTGAATCCATGTGACATCCCTGGGGTAAAAAAGCTCTGTGGTGAGGCCTTCAAATGTTGCAGCAATCCTAACAACCAACAATTCTGACAGGCAGGACTGGATCTGGGAGAGCAGGCATTGGCTCTGTTGTCGAATTCCTTGAGTAGTTTGGGCAGTCACAGCACCCACTGCCCCCAGTGTTATGTGAGAGGTCAAAGGGAGAGGTTGTTGCTCCCAGAAAACTGCTTACAAAAGAAATGAGAAACAGAAGTAAAGGGGCTGTTGAGAATTTGAAATGCTACAACAAACAGGAGGATTGTTCAAACGTGGGTGCTGAAGGCTCCTCTAGCTGCTTTTAGGTGCCTTCTCAAATGAGCTGGCCATCTGAGGAAGGTTTTAAAGAGGTGAAAAGGAGCTAATCTGCTCCAGAAGTTAGGACCAAGGATGACTGCATCCTTGTAAGTCCTATAGCAGTGGTACAGAGAAAGAGAGGCCCTTAACTCCTGCCTGCTGTCGGGCTGCAGCTCAGGAAGCTGCACGGCTGTGCTACTCACAGCTGCTGGCTCCTCTCTCTTCCCTGCTCTGCTTCTAAGAGGGGTCAGAACCAGGGCAACAGTCAAAGTGCCAGGAAGAAGTTTCAGTGGTGATAGCCATAGTTTCTACTTCATCTGCAAAGCTGAAAATGGAGAGAGACCAAAAAAAAGTCTGAAGCGCCACAATGATAAAAATAATCCCAATTCCCTCGCAGTCAGTCTCATCCCACCCCACCCTTTATTTCTTCTCCAGCAGGAAAATCTTTCCCCAGGATTGCTGGCACCCTTTGGAGGACAGATCCAGTGCAGGAGTCGTGCTGGGGGTCAGAGGGATGGTGTGAAGGGCTGGGCTGGGATGTAGGTTTCTTTCAGGACAGTAAGTTCAGATCATGGTCTGCCAGAGGTTTTTCCACACAACCTTAAGCCTACCTTTTAAACTCCTCTCTGATTCAATTTGCCTGCAATTAAATGGGGTAGTACTTTTCTCTTCAGCTGTTTGGGTTGTCAGCTCTCTAGAACAGAGGCTGTTCCACCTCCTGGTCCTGGCTGCAGCTGCTCAGTGAGAGAACGAGCACACATCCTCCTCTCTCTGCTCAGGACCAGCCCGGTCTTCCCCTTTGGGCTTCCCATCAGTCAAATCCTATCTCCAAATTGTCCCAGTGTGAAAGCACACCACGTGTTGTACCTGTCAAAGCATGAAGCAAAGCTCAACTTCATGCAAACCCGTTGCCTGAGCAGGAGAGGAGCACGGCAGCCTCTCCCACACACTGCCCAGCACACATTAGCCAGGCATTTGCAAAAAGCCATGGGACAGCCTCTGCTCTGAGAAGGAGCTCCCTGAAAGTTGTGTCCCAGCCTACAGAGGGTCCCTCTGGACTGCTGGGCTCTCACTAGCAGCACTTGGCCGTAGGACACTCTGAACAGGTCCTGCAAACTGTCCTCCTTTTGTGTTTGTTTTTTTATTTACAAGCAGGGCAAGACCATCTGTTATGCTCTGAGGTCATTAATGATTTCCAGGATGGCCAGGAAATAGAAAATACTTCTGCAGCATACGACATGTGGGGCAAACAAATATCATCCATACATATGCAAGAACACAGAGCAGGGTGTAGGGTTTTATGAAATATTCCAGTGGGGCGGCTTCCAGCGGTTTTGCCTCAGGAAGCTGCACAGCTGCTCCGGGCTGGGGAGCGCTGGGGAGATGAGCTGGATTTGCATGACAAAGGCCAAAACATCGCAGTGGTCTGTGACCTTTTCCTTGGTGTGCCACGCAGGGGTGGAAATACAATCAGCAATCCCTGGGAAGGGATTGCCTCCACCTGCAGCCAGGGATCCCCAAGGTGTTACCCTGGCACTCAAACCCACCACTTACCTGGAGAGCTTGGTGTTCTGGGTTGTAGCCCAAAAACCCAAATGAAACCCTGCTGGAGCCATTGGGAATGTTCCCATGGAATGCTCAAGGGTTTGCCTTGGATTTCATTTGCTTTCTGCAAATCTGATCCAAAGTGAGTGGAATGACTCTGCTTTGGGACACTCACGCTGCCCCTCTGAGGAGTGTTTCAGAGGCTGGGGAGAGCTGGTCTCCAAGCTGGAAGTGGGGCCCTACCAGGAACACATGGGGCCCCACGGATCTAATCCCCCCAGAAGCCTTAATGAAGCTCTTGTATGGGGCAAGGCCACTCAGTGCTGCTGTCAGACACTCCTAAACAAATCCTTCCTGGCCCGTGGAGCAGCTGAGAGTGCTCAGGGGAGAGCTGGGATGTGCTGCTGTACTTTGGCAACGGGCAAGGAACATCAGCCATTGGCTTCCCTGGGACAGGCAGGATGAGGCTGTATTCATGGATCACTTATCAGGAGTCTGGCTCAAGTGGGAGGCAGAAAGGCTTGTGATAAAATTGTCTGGATGTTTCATCTGCAGCCAGGAAAGGGAGCTTAATTTTCTTAGGCTGGCGTGGGTTTCCCAGGCTTTGACACAACAGTTTTTGTTTTGACACTGTCAATACATTTCATTTTTCTGTGCTGCTTTGCCTTTTTGATGGAGATGCTTTTATTAGAATCTGACTTCAGT